TATTTGTAGTCTGTAAAAGAAAAATAGCAAAATGCATATTGTCAAGGGCACATGACACATTTACCAAGGTAGATCACATTCTGGGCCATAAAATAAGTAAATAAAATTAAATAGTAAGATTATACAAAATATCCAACCACACTGAATTATTACAAATGTAACAGAATGGTTCTTAGAAATTTCCAATATTTGAGTAACAACACAGTTCTACATAACCCAAGTCAGAGCAGAAACAACAAAGGAAGTTACAGTGTGCTTTAATCTGAATGTAAGTAAAAATGGACTGTAGAATGCTGTTAAATTAGGAACTTAATGCAAAATTTATGGCACTACAAGCCCATGATGAGATGGATAATGGTTTAAAATCAATGACTTCATCTTGTATTTAAGAAACTAGTGAGAAGCAGAGAATGAAACCCAAAGCAAAAGGAGTAAATGAAATAATAAAAACAAAATCATAAATAAATTAAATTCCAAGCAGAAAACAGAGAAACCCAAAGCTTGTCTGATAAAAAAAACTGATATTCTTCAATCCACAATGATCAGAAAAAAGACAAAAAATAACAATATTAAGAAATAAAGAGGTGGGGCTGACACTGTTGGCGTAACAAGTAAACCAGCTGCACTGCCAGCATCCCATATGAGCACCAGGTCGAGTCCCAGCTGTTCCACTTCTGATCCAGCTCTCTGCTATGGCCTGGGAAAGTAGTGGAAGATGGCCCAAGTGCTTGGGCCCCTGCACTCACAAGGGAGACCTGGAAGAAGCTCCAGGCTCCTGGCTTTGGATTGGCCCAGCTCCGGCCATTGGGGCCATTTGGAGAGTGAACCAGCTGATGGAAGACCTCTCTCTTTTTCTTCCTCTGCCTCTCTGTAGCTCTGCCTTTCAAATAAATAAATCTTTAAAAAAGAAAAGAAGATTTGGGGAAATGGGCTTAAAGTAAGTTAATTTTAAAAAGATAAAGAGCTATAGCACTACTTATTTCATGGATATTAAAATGAAAATAAGAAAATATTAACAATATATGTCTGCCAATGAACTTTGCAACTTGAATTAAATGGAAAATGCCTCAAAAGATACAAATTACAAAGAAGAAATAAAGAGAAAACAACAGAACAATATCTTTCTGAAATACACAAAAATTCTATGCAAAATTCAGCAACTGAATCCTAAAACACGTATATGAAGCTGATAAACTATGTCTAAATGGGGTTCATACCATGAAAGCAGGAATTTTTTTTAAAGACTTATTTGTGTATATGAAATGCAGAGTTAGAGAAAGAGAGAGAGAGCTATTCATTTGCTGGTTCACTCCCCAAATGGCCATAACAGCTGGAGCATGGTTGGTTAGAAGCCAGAAGCCAGAAGCTTCTTCCAGATCTCCGACGTGGGTGCAGATGCCCAAATACTTGGGCCATCTTCCTCTGCTTTACCAAGCACTTTATAAAGGAGCTGGATTGGAAGCGGAGCAGCTGGGACTCAAACTGGCTCCCATATGGGATGCCAGTACCACAGATGGCAGTTATACCTGCTATGCCACAGTGGCAGCTCCAGGACTGGTTTAATATTCTAAAATCAGTCAAGGTAATTAACAATATTAATCAACCTGAAAATAAAGATTATCTGATCATCTCAGTTGATTCCGATAAAGCTAAAGATATTCCTGATAAAATGCCTCAGCAAACTAAAAATAGATAATATCTTAAACCTTTCAATAGAGGACATCTGTGAGATATTTACAGTGAAAATTACAAGTAATAGCAAAAATCTTTTCTTGTTAATCACCAAGCAGTAAACATATTAGGCATTGCATGCCACACAGTCTCAGTTATATATTCATCTTTATTTTTGCTTTGTTTACAAAAATCATTTAAAACATTTCAAAAAAATCTCAAATCTTAGCTTACATAGTGCACAAAAACAGATATATAGAAAACCCAGTGTAACCTACCAAATCTTTTTTTTTTTTTTTTTTTTTTTTTTTTGACAGGCAGAGTGGACAGTGAGAGAGAGAGACAGAGAAAGGTCTTCCTTTCCTTTGGTTCAACCATCAACAGCCTCTGCGGCCAGCGCACCATGCTGATCCTAAGCCAGGAGCCAGGTGCTTCCTCCTGGTCTCCCATGGGGTGCAGGGCCCAAGCACCTGGGCCATCCTCCACTGCACTCCCTGGCCACAGCAGAGAGCTGGCCTGGAAGAGGGGCAACCAGGACAGAATCCGGCACCCCGACTGGGACAAGAACCCAGTGTGCCTGCGCCACAGGCGGAGGATTAGCCTTTTGAGCCGCGGCGCCAGCCCCAAATCTCTTCTAAAACTAGAAAGTCTGTTTGGCACGTTTATGCGATTAAAGATCATCATACAAAATCCAACGTTTGTATACTAGCAATAAACAATCAGAAATTGAATCAAAATAACAATATAATTTATAACAGCCTCAAAAATAAATATTATTTAGGGATAGACCAGGCAGAAAAGGAGAAAGAGCTATGCACTATGGACTACATAAAGACTCATGAAAGAGATTAAGAAAAACACAAAGAATTAGAAATACACATTTTTTATGAGTTAGAAAACTTGTGGAACTATAGATTAAATGTAATCCTACTAGAAATCACAGCAGACTTTTATTATATAAATTGAAAAACTGTCCAGAAAATTTGTATGGAAAATTTCAGGTTTTAATGCAATGGACTTAGAATAACTAAAATAATTTGATAATGAACAAATTTGAAGGGCTAATACTTTTCCAAAATGACTAAAATTATAGAATAATCACAATATTGTGGGATTGGTATAAAGTCAGACAAATAGATCAGTGAAACAAAATAGAGTCCAATAATAAATCCACGCACAATTGGCCACAGTAGTTCAATTGATTTTTCACAAGACACAAAGGCAATGCAATGTGGTGAAAAAACTAGATTTGTCAATAAGTGGCACTGAAACAATTAGTCACCCACATGAGGAAGAAAGATAACTTCAATATATACAGTATAGAAAAATTAACACAAAATGGATCACAAACCTAAATATAAAACCTAAAAATATAAAAATTTTCAAAGAAAACATACACAAAAATGTTTGTGACTTTTAGACAGTCACAGCCACTACAACTAAGACACGGTCCAAAAAGAGCAAATTGATAAACTAGATATCTTTAAAATTAAAAAAAAATATATTGCTCTTCAGAGATACTGATAAAAAGAATGAAAAGAGAAGGCATAGACTCAAAGTCTGCAAAGGCTACACCAAATAAATGATTTATACTGAAAATATAGGAAGAAATTTCACAAATCATATTAAGAAAACTTAAAACTTTTTCAAATTTATTTATTTTACTCAAAAGGCAAACATACAGAGATAGCCCTCTGAGCCTCCCATGTTGAGTAGCAGGAACCCAAAGAGCTCAACCATCACCTACTCCATATCAGGATGATCTTTAGCAGAAAACTGGAATCAGAAGAAGAGTCAGGATTTGAACCCAAGCACCCAGATACGGTTTATGGACATTCCCAGCAGCATCTTAATTGCTGTTCCAAACACCTGCCCTTCAATTAAAAAAAAATGGACAAAAGACTAACAACATATAAAGGCACCAAACGATCATATAAAAATGTTCAATATCATTAGTCTTTAGTGAAATACAAAGTAACCACAACAATGGCTAGAGACTGGCCACTCCAGTTGCTAGAAGGGATGTGAAAGACTTGTAATTCTCACTCTCAAGTAGATGTGTGCATGTAAAAAGACTTATACATGAACAAAATGTTCATAGCAACTGTTTCTGAGGTAGTTCAAAACTTGGACAACTCAAATGTCCAACAATGGGTGAAAGAATAAATAACTTTTAGTTAAGCCCTTGGGTATTTTTCTTTATGTAACTAAGTAAATAAAGTATACTTTTTAAAGTATTCTACAGACACAGAGGTGATAACCAAACAATTATATATATATATATATATATATATAGGCTATTGAAAGCCAGCTTGTTCAGCTTGTTGCCTATCAACTCTTTTTGCTACATAATCAAATAGAAAGAGGTAAGAATTGCACATTTTTAAATTTATTTAACAAGTAGAGCTATAGACAGTGAGAGAGAGAGGCAGAGAGAAAGGTCCTCCTTCTGTTGGTTCACTCCCCAAATGACTGCACGCAGATGCAGGGACCCAAGCACTTGGGCCATCCTCCATTGCCCTCCTGGGCCACAGCAGAGAGCTGGACTGGAAATGGAGCAACCGGGACTAGAACCCGGCACCCACATGGGATACCGGCGCCACAGGTGAAGGATTAGCCAAGTGAGCCACGGTGCTGGCCCCAAAGAATTGCACTTTTTTTTTTTTTTTTTTGACAGGCAGAGTGGACAGTGAGAGACAGAGACAGAGAGAAAGGTCTTCCTTTTGCCATTGGTTCACCCTCCAATGGCCACTATGATAGCCGGCACACCGCGCTGATCCGAAGGCAGGAGCCAGGTGCTTCTCCTGGTCTCCCATGGGGTGCAGGACCCTAGCACTTGGGCCATCCTCCACTGCACTCCCGGGCCACAGCAAAGAGCTGGCCTGGAATAGGGGCAACCAGGACAGAATCCGGCGCCCCGACCGGGACTAGAACCTGGTGTGCCAGCGCCACTAGGTGGAGGATTAGCCTATTGAGCCACGGCGAATTGCACTTTTAAAAGCGAAACCTAGATGTTTTAATTTCAACTTAAATTTCACCTACTCAGTTTACAAAATGAAGAAATAATCATAGTGACTATGAAAAAGTTTGACTATATATGATAGCTATTTTGGGTTCAAATCATTTTGAATTTTATGAAATATTCAAGATTCTAACTGCCATGAGAATTAGGGATATCCTATAAATAACACTGTTAACAGTTCCTTTGGATAACAGAAGAAAGCATAAAATTGGGACAAAAAATTTGCTTTTCTTTTAAACATTCATGATTTAGTGATTCCAACAACTTGTATTTGAAAATTGGTAATCAATGTTTCTCTTTTTCACAGAGGAAATTTTCGAAATCAACACCCCTACAAAACAGGAGCTCCTTGTTCTCTGTGTGAAGAAAAAGAGGAATGTGTAAAGAAGCTCTGCCGTAAGCAAAAAAGAAAAATAAATGATTACATTTATTTGAAGAATAAAGCTTCCATAAATTCATTACTTGTTAAAATGTGGCTCCTTAAGTTTATAATTTATAACAAGATTTGACAGCTACAATACAATAATATAAATAATTTGTCATAAATGATCATATTTGAATTTAGATTATCCTTCCTCCTCAAGCTAAGGGACAGACAGTAAAACTGTGATCCAATTTGCTGTTGCACTCCACAAGATTATTGACTGAAATCATTCTTTTTTTTATATATATTTTCTTATTTATTTATTTGACAGGCAGAGTGGACAGTGAGAGAGAGAGACAGAGAGAAAGGTCTTCCTTTTGCCATTGGTTCACCCTCCAATGGCCGCCACGGCTGGCACGCTGCGGCCGGCGCACCGCGCTGATCTGATAGCAGGAGCCAGGTACTTCTCCTGGTCTCCCATGCGGGTGCAGGGCCCAAGCACTTGGGCCATCCTCCACTGCCTTCCCAGGCCACAGCAGAGAGCTGGCCTGGAAGAGGGGCAACCGGGACAGAATCCGGCGCCCCGACCAGGACTAGAACCTGGTGTGCCGGCGCCACAAGGCGAAGGATTAGCATAGTGAGCCACGGTGCCGGCCTTTATTTATTTTGAAACTTTTATTTAATAAATATAAATTTCCAAAGTACAACTTTGTATTGTAGAGGCATTTCCCCCCATAACCTCCCTCTCACCTGCAACCATCCCATCCGCCACTCCCTCTCCCATCCCATTCTTCATCAAGATTCATTTTCAATTATCTTCATATATAGAAGATCACCTAGCCCATCAGCTACTGTGAGCTTTGATACCAAAGTGGAAATGTTCCCTCAACTTGTTCTTTTTCCAAATTATTCAGAATGTATGTGGCTATTCTTGGCCCTTTGGTCTTACACATTAATTTTAGGGTAAGTGTATTAATTCCATAGATGACTTTGTTGGGTTTTGGTTGGAATTATATTGAATTTATAGACAAATGTGGGAATAATTAATATTTTTACAACATTGACTATTTACAACAATAAAATGGTTTATTGAAGTCATTTTAATTGTTTTACACTTAAATGATAGGACTAAGAACCAAAGGGATCACATAAACAAGAATAGTGTCTGCAAATACTAGCTGATAGAATCAAAAAGGGAGAGAATGATCCAACATGGGAAGTGAGATACACAGCAGACCCATAGAATGGCAAATGTCCTAACAGCACTCTGGCTTCATAATCAGCCCTTAAGGCATGTGGATCTGGCAGAAATGCCCATGAGAGTATTTCAGGCATGGAAAGCCAAGACACTCTGGGGCAAAAAAAAAAAAAAACCTAAATGAAAGATCTCTGCGAGTGAGATCCCAGTGGAAAGAATGGGTCATCAAAGAAGGAGGTACCTTTCTCTGAAGGGAAGAGAGAACTTCCACTTTGACCATGGCCTTGTCCAAATATGATCAGAGTCAGTGAACTCAGGGGGCTTCCATAGCCTTGGCAGCTCATGACAAGAGCCTAGGGTGATTACTGAGGCCATAAACAAGAGTGTCAATTTGTTAAGTCAACAACAGGAGTCACTGTGCACTTACTCCTCATGTAGGATCTTTGTCCTTAGTGTGCTGTACATTGAGATTTAATGCTATAACTAGTACTCAAACAGTATTTTTCACTTTATGTTTCTGTGTGGGAGCAAACTGTTGAAATCTTTACTTAATGTATGCTAAACTGATCTTCTGTATATAAAGAGAATAGAAAATGAATCTTGATGCGAATGGAAGGGGAGAGGGAGTGGATAAGGGGAGGGTTGCGGGTGGGAGGGACGTTATGGGGGGGAAGCCATTGTAATCCATATTCTGTACTTTGGAAATTTATATTCATTAAATAAAAGTTAAAAAAAATTGTTTTCCACTTAAACATTGAAATTTTCTTAGTAGAGATCTTGCACAGGAGATTTCTTGGTAACATGTACCTATTGTTATTATACATGTTTTAAATTTCATTTACAAATTGATTTTGCTGATTTACTGAAATATTAATGCTTTTGTCTAATAATCTGCTATACAGGAATCTTACCAAACTTTCTTATTATTTCTAATAGTTAATTTTTCTACAATGAAAATCATGTTATTTACTTAAAAATAACTGCAAATTTTGAAATTTCTCCTAATCTTTATATCCATTATTTATTTACTCCTAAAAATAGACAATTATCAAGTGCAAAGTTGAACATAAACTGTGATAATGGTATCTTCCTCTCAATATAAAAGCCATGTTCCATCATTTTGCATATTTGATGTAGATTACTTTAAATCATTCCTCATTACTAGGATATAAAATTATTATTTTCCCTTATTCTATTAATTTTTAACTTGAATGAATGTTTAATTTTAGATTTTTTCTGCATATCTTCAAATCACTCAATTTTTAAATCTTTAATGTGTCAATGTTATAAACTTTATCCAATGATTTATAATGCAACCCAGTCACATGTAAAATTTCAAAAGATATTGAGAGTTAAGTAATAACCCACTAATCCAAAAGTAGGTCATTCTTTCATTCTTGTGATAAAACCAATTTAGTCATGAGGTTTCATATATAAATGGTTAGCTTCTTATTCACTTTTTTTTGTAATTTTGGCATTTAATTTTAGAATTATAATTGGCCTACAATTTTCCTTCTGTACCTCTCCATACATGATTTTGAATTTAAGGTTGTAGTAGCTTTATAAAAGAGGTTGGAAATTGGGAATATTGCTTCTTTTTACATTTAGTTATGGGTAGTGCACAATTCTCATTATTTCATTTTTGTATGTTTGGGAAACATTCTCTATAAGCCTATTTGGTGTATTTTGTTCTGTGGGGAGTTTGTATATATGTGTGTGTGCACATGTATGCTGTGTGCCTTTAAGTTTTAAATTGCTGATTTAATTTACTTCATGGTTACATGATATTCAGGTTTAGAGGTAACATTAGCAAACTTTGTTATACATAAGATTTAATGAATTTTTTATAATTTTGCCTCTGCTCTGTCTATAGTTATATTCCACTTAAGTCTTAAGACTTTTGATTTGTGCCTTTGCCTCTTTTTATTGGTTATCTTAGATAGATAGATAGATAGATAGATAGATAGATATAGATACAGATATAGATATAGATATAGATATAAAAATTTGTTGGATGACTTTCTGAGAGACAGGAATCATAGCTTGATGATGACATATCTAGGATGGGAAGTCAAATGGCTTAACTCAGGAGGAGAGTCAGAGGATTAAATATAAGTCAAAGCATTTTGAACCCCCAAAATATTTTAGTAAATTTTAGCTATTATTGTAATTAAGTTCCTCATTATTTTCTACCATTTGATACAGTTTGTATTTCTCATGGGCTTGCCATTCTTTGAAATAAACATTTTTATTCATTTTATTTATTCAGTTTTGAAACTGATGATAGATTTGCCACCATTCAACCTTTGCTATAATGAAAGGGACTTTATTTTATTCCTTTCCAAACCCTATATCATGCTCTCCACACAATAGAAAATGATAATATATAAAAATATATATGTATATAAATCAATGAAATAAGAAAACAAATTTAGAACAGAGAAGAGGATCCTATTACAAAAGTGAACAAGGAAGAAAAATTTGTGGAAAGGACATGGAGCAAAAATTTAGAACAAGGACCACCAAAGAACTGAATGAGATACTTAATGGGGGATTCCAAGTACCCAAAAGTCCATAAGAGGGAATTATATTTTTCAGGGATGTGAACTGGGCATGGCAGAGTGCCAGAAATGAAGTGCTACTTTATAGTTTTGCCTATTTTAGACTTCTATGCTTACAATAGAAGAGATATTCTAGAAGTATTTGTTGACATACTGGTAGGTGGCATCAAAAAGATATTGAAACACTGTAGTATTTGAGTAAGATGTTTTCATCTTTCTTAAGTGAAAAGGTAAAACAAAATTTTCTAGATTGACTGTCAGACTCTAAAAGCCAGGAAAAAAGTGAATGCTTTTCATTTTATAATATTAACTTTTTTTTTTCTGCTTTAGGAATTCCACAAATTGTTATGCCTGAAATTATCAATACCAATACCAATACCAATACCAATACAAATACCAATACCAATACCAATACAAATACCAATACCAATACCAATACAAATACCAGTATGTATCAAAATATTTCAGTATTGATTTAAGTATTTGTTCCCCTTGAAACTAAACTGAGCATTAATTGTTGTGTTTTATTGACAGTTCGTCCAAATGAAACCCCAGCGGCCAGAGCACCTCAGGCTATGGCATGTAATCTAGTGAGCCTCAGCTTTCTTCTCCAGAGAATCTTCTAATATGTCAATAAAGGAAAAATTTATGACCAAATGTCACTCTTCATCAATTTAATTCTCTATTAAAGCTTCTATACTCTTGTATCTAAAGACAATGTTTGTTTTTTGATTCAAAAGATACAGTATAGAAGATGGTTAAGCGCTAAAATTGTAAGTTTATTTTTTAACTAAAATAGTTTCTATATAAAAATCCCTGGGGCCGGCACTGTGGCATAGCGGGTAAAGCCACCGCCTGCAGTTCTGGCATCCCATATGGGCACTAGTTCAAGACCCGGCTGCTCCACTTCTGATCCAGCTCTCTGCTATGGCCTGGGAAAGCACTAGAAGATGGCCCAAGTCCTTGGGCTGCTGCATCCATGTGCACCCTCAGCTAACTACATGTAAGACCATCTTAACATGTATTTTTAAAGGAGTAATAAATGTTTTGTGTATACTGGCCAATAGATTACCTCTTTAATTGATTCTGTGGCAGGGACCCCCTTCTCCTTAGGTAGAAAAAAATGACTAAAGGCAGAAACTGTAGGGCAGCAGAGGCTTTCTGGGAAATGGGGGCTGGGGGAGGCACAGAGGGAGCTGTCCAAGTAATACTACAATTGCACCTGGGTCAACTAAATCAAATCTAATACACATAGGTGTACCTTTGTGTAATGGTTGCAGAAGCAGTGCTACAGTTTTTAACTATCCAATCAAATATGTTTAACCAAATATGTAAACAAACAAACAATAAAAGCTTACAGTTGTTTCTGCCAGGGTCTGTAAGGCAACACCCTGTTTTGTTCAGGGCCCAGACTTCAGATACAAATCTTCTGGGACTGCCAGCATAGGGAATAAAATTCTTTCTTGTTAAAAGCCTTTGTATTCTGTCTCTCTGAGATTCCCACTACAATCCAAAGTAATAAAAGATAAAATGAATCTAAGTAGTTTTGAATTTCAAATCTGCTGACAGTGGTCAGTGTTCACCAAAGAAACACTAAGAATATCTGGGGCAAAGAGACAAAAAGGGGAAGAAAGGGATTTTTAGTGACTCACAGAATTATTTTTGCAAACAAGTCAGAATCTGTAAAGCAAGCTAGAAAGATGAGAATTCAAGTAAAAGTTGGAGTTGCAGTCTTGCACCCACCTGCTGGAAACAGGCAGAATTTCTGGGCTGTAGTATTGAGGCAGAATTCCTTCATCAGGAAAACTAAATCTGTGTTCTTAAGCCCTTCAACTGATGGAATGAGTCCCATGCATATTAAGGAGGATAACTCAATTTACTTGAAGGTTGTATATTTTTTTAAAATTTTTTTTGGACAGGCAGAGTGGACAGTGAGAGAGAGAGACAGAGAGAAAGGTCTTCCTTTTCCGTTGGTTCACCCCTCAGTGGCCTCTGCGACCGGCACACTGCAGCTGGTGCACCGCGCTGATCCTAAGCCAGGAGCCAAGTGCTTTTCCTGGCCTCCCATGCAGGTGCAGGGCCCAAGGACTTGGGCCATCTTCCACTGCACTCCCGGGCCACAGCAGAGAGCTGGACAGGAAGAGGGGCAACTGGGACAGAATCCAGCGCCCCGACCAGGACTAGAACCCGGGGTGCCAGTGCCGCAGGTGGAGGGTTAGCCTATTGAGGCGGGGCGCCGGCCCGAAGGTTGTATATTTTAATCACACCTTTAAAAATACCTTTACATCAGCCTCTGGGGCTTGACCAAACAACTGGTCATCACTGTATAGTCTCATTGACTTCATAAAATTAACCACCACACTGCCACTTAACATCATAAATATGGAGTCATTATCCTTTTAGTAATGTAAACTTTTGAAGTGTTTTAACTATTACATTGTTAGAATACAAATTCACAATGAATTGCTTCCTAATTTGTGGTTTGAAACAGACCAAAGATAAAATGACATGCACATAGAGTATACTTCTCTACGTATTATATTGTCATTATGCTCTTCTCATAAAATTTTGAGGTTTTTCATTAATAATAGCCTTAAGTGTTTATATTAACCAGAGAAATGTCTCAAAGACCTAATTATGCATTTTGAAGACTTAGAAAAACAAAAACAAAACAAACCCAAAATCAGCAGGACATGTGAAATAATAAGCATCAGAGAAGAAATAAATGAAATTGAAACTAAAAAATTAAAGATAACAAAACAAAAAAGTAGTTGAAAAAATATACAAAATAAACCTCTAACCAGACTCACAAAGAAAAAAATGTGAGAAAACTCAAATAAATAAAATTAGACATGAAAATGGATATATTACAACTGACACCACCAAAATACAAAGGATCAAAAGAAAATACTTTGAAAAATTGTATACTATTAAACTGGAAAACCTCGAAAAAATGGATAAATGCCTGGATTCATATGATATACTGAGATTAAATCAAGAAGATATAGACAACTTAAACAGACCCATAAAAAAGGCAATGAGATTGATGCAATAATCAAAAATCTTTCATCAAGGAAAAGCCCAAGAAGACCTGAAAAATTTACTACTGATTTGACAAAACATTAAAAGAGGAAGTAACTTCAATATTTTTCTAACTATTCCAAAATAATGAACAGAATGGAACTCTGCCAAACTCTTTTTTTTTTTTTTGAGGCCTATATATTATGGATATCAAAACCAAACAAAGACACAACATGAAAACTAAACATCTATCTCCTTAATGAATATAGATGCAAATATTCTCAACTAAATACTAGCACATCAAATCCAAAATTGCATTTAAAAGATCATATAATCAAGCATTTCTGAGTTCATCCTTTGATGGATAGGTAGTCTCAGATGGGCAGCTCTGCATCTAATGAGATGATCATAAAGTTTTTGTTAAACATCCTATTGATGAGCCGGTGCTGTGGCTCACTAGGCTAATCCTCCGCCTTGCGGCACCGGCACACCAGGTTCTAGTCCCAGTCGGGGCGCTGGATTCTGTCCCGGTTGCCCCTCTTCCAGGCCAGCTCTCTGCTGTGGCCCGGGAAGGCAGTGGAGGATGGCCTAAGTCCTTGGGCCCTGTACCCCGTGGGAGACCAGGATAAGTACCTGGCTCTTGCCATCGGATCAGCGCGGTGCGCCGGCCACAGTGCGCCTGCCGCAGCAGCCATTGGAGGGTGAACCAATGGCAAAGGAAGACCTTTCTCTCTGTCTCTCTCTCATTGTCCACTCTGCCTGTCAAAAACAAAAATCCTATTGATGTGATTTATAATGTTTATTGATTGCAAATGTTGAACCACCCTTGACCTTCTGGGGTAAATCTGACTAAAATAAGGGAGTTTTATAAGGTCAGGCTGGCTCTACATGATGATAAAATTCAGAATGACATGATCACCCCTAAAGTTAACAGCCTACTCTAGATTTCATATTGAGAGTCTTCACAGGAACTGTAAACTCGGATCAAATAATCAGAATACCTCTAGACCCCAGGCAGGCTGCAATCCACTTTGCAATAATAGCATTTCAAAAGAACATATAAGCTTCCTATCACTGATCAAAGGAAGTCCAGGTGCACTGAGGATCAACCAGAGACCTACAGACAAGCTGATTGCATACCACTCACCTCCAATTTTATTCTGTAAGATTCACCACACTTAATCCCTCGGGGAGTTCAGGATTAACCAACAGCTACCTAGTTCCTTATTCTGGGCATTACATAATAAATTCCTACATTCTTCTAGCCCCCAGATGTCAATGAATGGCTTGTTATATCTTAGGAGAGTGCACTCAAGTTTTTGGCATTCCACAAAAGTTTTATGATTTTAATAAAGATAGTTGTATTTTAATTCATGAGACCCAGTTTTATCCTGAAACCTGGTAACATTTGATCTATTATATGTGAAAAGAATAGATGTAGCATGACTATTTTAATTACACTAGCTTTAGGCTTTTTTAAATATAAAAAATTCCTATTGACTTCTTCATACAATTTTCTAATGGTGCTACTGTTCGTGATTTCCCATATGACATTTTTTTCCTATCTGTTTTTAATATAACTTCCTTAGACTGGTGGGCAGAATTTTCTAGAAGACAGTCCATTGCTTTCTTTTAAATAGGGTCTGAGAGGGCATCTGGCACAACATTGGGATGTAATAATTGAAGCACAACTTGGAATGCCTGCACCCTATGTCAGACTGCTTGGGTTCAAGTGTCAACTCTGCTTCTGATTCTACCTTACTGTTTATGCCATACCTTGGGAGGCAACAAGTGATGGCTCAAGCACTTGGGTCCTTGCCACCCACCTGGGAAACCCAGATTGAATTCTGGGATCCTGGCTTCAGCTGGCCCAGCCCAAGCTGTTGCAGGCATTTGGGGATGAAAAGAGAATGAAATTCACTGTCTCTCTTGCTCTCAGTGGTGAGTTCTTGGCCTAACTTCCTAGCCTCAAGTAACCTTTGAAAGTCTAATTTCTAATGAAATTTCTAATGAAAATTTCTGGCAAAGCAAATTTTAAAAATGCCTTTGCAGTCCATTACTATGCTTTCTGCATTAAAGTCAATAATGAAACCAAATCTAATGAGACCAGACTTATTTTGTAAAGCAGAATAACCTGACTTTAGCTCATTTTATCAAGAAAGGAGTGACTACAAAAAATACTTTCATGTTTCAGTGGAAAACTATAGAACATCCTTGTGGGTTATTGGATTTTAATTGTTCATTGTCCTTGAGGTTATAGAACCTACATGTAAACCAACCTGGATCCTGTCATCTTGCACATTTTGTCAATTCTTCTTGTTTCCTCTAATGTCTGACTACAACTCTGCAAACTAACGTTTCTAATTGTTACCATATCTTTCTGACTGGAGTCACTGAGAACCAAAACCTGACTGGCCTGATCAAAAGAAGCCCTGTGAGCTGAAGCTGGATACTTCCCTGCTCTGCTCCAGGAAACAGCCAGGACTACGATACTGATGTCTGTGCCCTCACTGCAGACAGGCAAACTGCCCACCAGGAAGTTTGTAGGATTATCACAGTTGTCCTTACTCCATCATCTAAAGATGCTTTTGGGGCCCACATCTAGAACGTGTGTGTGTGTATATGTATATATATATATATATATATATTTTTTTTTTGAGAGAGAGAGGGAGAAATGCATAGATAG